CCCCAAAACCCCAAAACCCCAAAACCCCAAAACCCCAAAACCCCAAAACCCCGAGCAGTCTGACCCAGAATGAAATTAAACTGTGAAAAAATAGGATTAAGCAAACTTAGATCCATGAGAGCCTGAAATACTTTTATTTCCATAGACTCAGAGTTTATTTTCAACTTTTTGCTTTGACCTATGTCTTTTCAACGCAGGATTCCTAGTCGTTAACCCTCAGAAGTACCTTATTTCCTGGTTATGTGAGTTAAGACTCATCTGCTTATCTCCAATGACAAGTTTCCTTGAGTTCTTCTTATACATATTGCTATAAATAGTCTCTAAAAGCTTACTCATGGAGGTTATTCCTGTTATGAATGGCTATAGAGACACCTTCTAAGGGTACAAAATCCTTTGACTTGATCCTCACAGGATTCATTGCTGAAGGATTGGATTTCTGATAGTAGTGTTGAAGAGCTTGTTCTGCTTCTAAAAGGATTAATTACTCTAAATTACCATAATTACTTCCTCTAATAGCGTTGTTAAATTCTTGGTAAATTGAAGCTACAGGTTTAGATTTTAGAATACCAGCTTCTTTCTCTGACCGATGTAACATTATTTCGTGTGCGCCAAGGACCTTTTGCGATGTCTTGAACTTCTTGTTGGTAACTGTGTTTCCTTTGTTGTTGGCTAGATTTAGGCGGTCAAATTTGCTGTAATCTAAGTAAAGAGCAAAGATAGAAAGGATTTATAACAGAAATGTTCTTAATTTTGAATATTAATGATTAGTCTATCCCATTTGTAGACATGAATGAATTTCAGGCTCCAAGAATAATTTTATTTTTATTTAGTGAGAATAAAGCTAAGCTGGCTTTTTAACAAATAAAAGATTTCTCTAATTTTTATTTCCATCACCATCAAACAAAATAAAAATTAAAAATAATTTTGAAAATCTTACTTACCATATTTCTGAATTGACTTGTTCTCGTTATTGCTCCCTCAAGAATCTAAAATAGGAGCTAACCTATCAGTTTTAGAACTCTCATTATTGTTCTTTGCAGAGCTTCCTAAAATCTAACATTTTGAAGTCTACCTCTATACCCAGTGCTTGACTTTGAACTAGCTCCAAAGAATTTCTTATTATCTTGCTGAATGGCAGGCATATTTAAGTTTGAGTCATCTAGCATTTGCATTTTTGCTAGATCTTCTACGGTACTCATGATCCTTTTGTCCTTCTGGTACCTACTGCGATCAAGAAAAACAATTACTGCATCTGAATAGGGATATTCAAGCTTTCGTTCTTATTTTAATAGGGATTCCTTATGTTGATTCAGATACATCTCTTCTAGATTGGTATCTGATCATAGAGACCCAGTGATGGTGTTTGCCTCAGCTTGTTCCCTCCTGACAGAAGTACCCATTGCTGAATCACCTGTCTGCTTACTAAGGATTATTCAATGGCTTACACTTGTCTAGGGTTTGACTGATATCCACTTCTTTTACGTTTCTGTGACATTGGAGTTACCATCCTTTTGACACCTATCTCATAAGGACTTTTAGTCAACTTTGTCTTAGCTATTTCTTTAGTTTTTGCTGTTTTGCCAGCTTTATCCGAGGAATGACCTTTCTTGAGTTTTGGCATAGTAGAGTTATTCTTGTCTCCATTCTTTCCTTTTCCTACAGGATTTCCAGCCAAGGATGAATTTAGCTTTGCACTAGGGAATGGCACTGGATTGTTTGATCATTGCAGGTACTTCTCAAATAGAGCTTGTTTCTCAGGGTCTGTACTAGGGTAAGCTTGTTTGTATCCACCCATGTTCTTTCTTTCGTAAATTTCTCTCTTCTTCCGTAATTTTTCAATTTCCTCTTTCTTCTTCAGAAGGCTTTCTTTGTAACTAGTTCTCTCTACTATCCTTCTCTGGAGATCTTCTTTCTTTTTGTTGATTTTCCTAATCTTTTCTTTGTGACTGACGCAAAGGAGTTTGAAAGAATCAGTAATGACAGCTCTCTTCAATTCGTCATCAAGTTGAGCATCTGTAGCAAAACTCGGAGCTAGATTAGCCTCAATAAGCCAAGGTTTAGCCTTTTTATCAATGTAAATATCAAATCCCAAAATTTCAAATCACATGTTCCCTTCCAGATCACTGGGCTGACAAGTTCGGTAATAGTGTGAAAGTTCTGGTTGGGCAGAAATCAGAGTCTTGACTATCATATCATCTAAACCAAATTAGAACCGCTTGGGGGAATTGTTTACCTATCTTTTCAACTAGCTCTTTTGTATTAACTCCCTCCTTCTCTAATCTCTATAATTCAAAATTATTTTTCAAAAATAGGAAGTAATGCATACTTTTAAAACTGTTGAATATAAACGCTTATGGCCAGCGTCTTCATGAGGATCATCTGCCATTACAAAGTTGTTTTCCTTGTTGATAGCATAGTTTGTTAAATGCATGTGAAGGTTGTTATAATTAGTTCCACTCTCAATATCCCATTCATCAGTGGCAAACCGGACCATGCCTTCCTCATATATGAATATTCTTAACGGATCTCATGACAGAACCAGGACATAAAGCCTCAGATCGAATTTAAAACCGTCAATGAGGTAGGGTGATCTCATATATCGTTGAACAACACAGTGTTCTGAAGAATTGATATCGTCCAGTCTTCTTGTGATGAAAATGCCTCTCCCTTGGGCCGAAGCTTCTGGTTTAACAATCATACTGACTACTTTCTTCTGTGTCACAAAAGCCTTAAGCTCCGAATACTCATGAGGCATTATCCATGTTTTAGGGGTGATTTTGTATTCAGAAGGGAACATTTTCTCCATCTTTTTCAAATTTTTGGCCAGTAAATTCTTCCTACAAATCTGGTACATGCTTGGGAAATGATTAAGCTTCTGGTAATTTTTCATTTTTGATAACTTCTCAGTAGAGCAAGGTAGGTCGGACCAGAAGACGTCAAATTCGTCATTATCATCATAGCTCAGCTTCCAGCCTAGCTCTTCTGCGACTTCCTTGATGACTTCATACTGAGTGTCTATAGTTATTAAGAACTAATTATAATTACATAGGCAGTTAAAAACAATAGGAGGGGTGTATCTTTTCTTAACTTTCTTTTTACTATCAGAGGCTTTCTTAGTCACCTTTTTCTTTGGTTTGGACTTATCCTTTTCCTTTTCAACCTTCTTCTTTTTACTCACAACATTTTTCTCTTTGACGCTTTGCGACTCCTTAGTAGAACTAGTGCCATCAGATGAGTTCATATTGGCTCTGTCGCCTTTGAAAGGTATGTCTTCTTCCTTCTTCTCTTGAGTGACCTCGGCTCTATATGTATAAAGATTAGAGAAACTGTAAAGTTCAAAACTCACTTGGCCTTATTCATATCTGCCATTTAAATTTTATTTGTTTTCTATATTATAAAAATTCCTAGGGGTTTTGGGGTTTTGGGGTTTTGGGGTTTTGGGGTTTTTG